CTACTACTACTACTACTACTTACTTATACTTGTATTTCTGCTTCTACTACTCGACTGCGACTGCAACTACGACCTGTCCCCCCACCCCCTTCCGGCTAATTTGCTGCCTGGGTAGAACTGGGTTCAACCCCCAGTCCCCACGCAACGATGAGAGCCCCCAAAAAATACGAACGAACCCGACAAACCTGATACTGATACCCTATCCGAAACCAAAAGCCCTGCAAAAGCCCTGTACACGCCCCACGCCCCAAGGGAACGAATCAGCAGAATGCGCGCTCTAAGGAAGCATTTCCTCGGATGCTAAAACATAAGGCTAGGAACGGGTCAGCATCCGTTGGTGTAATCCGCTATTCTCTGTAGGGGAAGGTCTAAGTGGTCTTCCCCGGTCTGTCACGACTTCTTGATCGAGCATCACCAGGCTCAGTCTATGCTTTGTTAGTGGGCTGGGGCGGCGTCTGCGCTGAAATGGCCAAAGAGGAGCACTTAAGCTCCTCCTGCCACCACACCACGCTTCTGGAGCACAGAAGAGCGTTCAGATAACTCCTCACGTGCCATCTGCAAAAAGCAGCAACGGCGGCTAGACAACTCGGTGTCAAATAGGATCCCTCCCTATTGACTTTTGCAGAGGGCGTGCGAAGTGACCGCAACTTCCCAGTCGAGTTTTGCCAGCAATTCCCAGACATGCTACTCAGCTTGCCTTCAGCCCTGGACCCTGGTTGAGTTTCTCTGCCATCTGCGAGCAAATCTCTGGAAGGCGAATTCGGCTTGCATCTGCCTGGAAAAGCGGGACTTTCGCATCGGAGGTCCTCCACGTTCAGATTTGCCAAACGTCGCGCGCACGCTGGCTGCTTGGCCTAGATGTGGCCTCTGAGAAGCTCGGCCGGTGCTGCAGGTCCGGGACAGCTAGTCAAATGTTGCACCCATCTTGCTGATATTGTTGTTTCAAATTCTCCGTGAGTCTTCGAGCATCTTATCAAGGTAGCGAGTCCCAGGTTTCCTGGTTCTCGATGCTGGGAGTACCCTCTGCCTAAATGTAAAATAGCATCAGTAGCGTCGGGCTTGCCACACATGTTGAGAAGGAATTCCCAGCGATAGTCTCTGAAGGGTGCTGACGTGGCAAGCGCGGCCGAGCATCTTCGTATGATCTGATTTGATGCTCTTGTTGAGGGTAGGTGGGACGGCATTGCATGCCACGTCACTTGGCAGAAATGAAGCGCAAGTCTTTTGCACTTTTTTGCATCTGGGTTGCAGCGACTCAACGCACTTCAAGACCTGCTGGCACCTACTCAGGCGGACATGTGGTGACATCCGAATCGTGGAGCAATCACTTGCTCAAGTCCCACAGCCTAGCAGAAGGGGTTCTGTACATAAGGTCTTGCCAGTCGGCAGAAACAAAGCCCTTCCAAAAAAGCCCCAGCCACGGCCGAGCCGTGAAAAGGATGTTGGACTTGTCAATTGTGTGAAGAGCACTGTTTAACATTTCGCTGCTCTTCCTCCGGAAGTCCAAGGAAGGGTTGGGCAGAATGAAGCACGGCCTCAGTGAACTCATAAAGCAAACGTCCAGCACAGCAACTGCATGCCTCAAAAGACGGCGCCCTGTGAGTAATCGGAGCAGATCTGCCGGGCTGCGCGTAGGGGCACTCTCAGGCAGAGTACCTAGAGGCAAGCCCGCGGTTGCGGCCGTACCGCAGATCTGCTGGGCTAGGCTTTGCGGCTCATGACTGCAGAAACTGCGACACTTCCAGCCCTGCAATCCCCAAGACAGTGACAAAATACGTCACTGTATCCAAACGAAATTGTCAGACGCACAGATTAATGCTGGGACGGCAGTGACCCCAAAAAATAGCTCTCTGGCCATGCAGGCATTGAATCAGCTCAGGTACTCCCGCACCCAGTGGAAGCTCTCCACCTGCAAGCCACAGACAAAATCAGAAGCCCAGGCTTTCCTCCATGCACAGCTATACGAGCCGATATTCCGATATTCATGAATGTTCTTACGGTGTGACCCTCGGGTCTGCATGCAAGGCCACTTTAAGCGGCTGCGGGCGGCGGGGATGGCCCAGCAAGGTCCTGCAAGCTCGGCACGCAGCTCAAAGCTGGAACCGGCTCACGTGCTCAGACTGCGATGGACGCACATGGACGCCCCGATGTCTGGCATGCTCGCCGAGGATCCGATACCAGCTGTAATGCAGGTGCAGCGGCTGCAGCACGTCAAACATTGGCTTCCTGAATCCGGGCTTCAGAGCGGAATTCTAAAAAGAAATGCAACAGTCTCAGACGGTTTCGCGTGTGCGACAAGCCCTGACCACTAGCCCTATAGTGGCCTCTGACAGCCAAGAGGCTCACGGTGACAAAAGACCACGATACGGTTCCCGAGATCACAGTACAGCGCGAGGCCAGCCGCAACCTGTGCGTGGAGGCCACTGCTACTGTAGAGTTCCCGATGAGATCACAGTTGTGGGCTGTGCGGGCTAGACACGAGTCCAATAGACAGCATCGAGGGAGCAGATGGCCAACGATGGTCGATCAGCACCTGTCACAGACCAGCAGGGAGGTGGTTAAATAAGCCACAGGCCCTGTCCTTTACATGATAGAGACTAAAGTCTTTTTCCAAAGACATCTTCAACAACCATCATGCGAATTCTCGGCCGTGTCTTCCACGTAGTCCCTAGTATGACGCAATGATGATCCCAACCGCTAAACCAGCAGCAGATAAGCAGATACTGCAGGCGTCTACATCCAGGTAGGAACGAACTGAGCCCCGCATATGAAACTTCAGGGAACAGATTGGATCATCCCACGGCTGGGAAGCTGTTGGCGCAAGTGTTCGGCATTGGATTGCGCTTCTCATGATTTTGAATAGGCAGAGTCGGCACCTTTAAAGTCCCGGTCAACAGCAGGCTGACGACCATCAAGATCGCTTTGTTTACGCTTCCCAGATGCTTGGTGACGATGCCAACCTGGGAAGGTTGCGGAGCAGAGAGGGGTGACGATGCTGCATCATCTAAGAGCATGTGCGCTCACGCAGCGAAGATCCCTGAGCCATGCCACGAGGATGCCGCCGCCAGCATGTGTAAACAGTGGGAGCAGTGTTGCCCACGTCCAGCCGTAAAACCTTTCCGCAGTTCCTTGCTCCAGCATGGTGAAAGGAAAGGTGAGGAAGAGCGTGCCAAGACCTCCCAGGGCCAGCTCCGCGGAAAGCAGGAACCTGTAGGGCTGATTGTCACCGCGTCAAAAAGGTGGTGTGCGAGTGGTCTCTAATGGTCTCTGCATTTTCCCGCGGCCATGGGGCGGATCCCTGCCCTTTACCAAAGCTTCCTCGGTGAGAACTGCTCCGAATGCAGAGCACATCGCCTCGGATCGCAAGGGGCCCACGGCCCACGTCACGAGCGGTCGATCAATCTCGTTTGCAAGCTGCTGACAAGATGCCGCCAAGCAGGCGCAGGCAACTCCTTGACATCGTCCCCAGTAGGGCTCTGCTTGCAAGCCATCACCATCGCAAGCCGTCAGCAGTGAAGCAAGGAGGATCATTGTGAGGGCGACCTGTGCGAAACGTCGCTAAAGAGCTCCGAGCTTGTGTCGCGACAGCCATCAGCAAATTGTTATGCAAACCAGGCAGCCCATTCACGGAAGGTAAACTGTCGTTGCTTACGGAGAACCACAAAAGCAGCGGTCCAAAGCAGCTTCGTCTGGTTGAGAACATTGCATGTAACCGCATCCAGCGATTTGTTTGCAGCTGTCCCTGCAACGTTCTGCAAAGCCTCGGAGTCTGCATGCTCCGACGGAGGCCTTACAGCCTTACTGCCGTTCGATGCATCACAGGAGCATAGGCCATTGCAGGCCAGATCGACTCTCGCAGTCCGATCCTCGGGAGCTTTCACTGTGCCAAATTTGCAGCTCAGCTAGGATCCAGCTAGGCGTGTAGATGAGCCACCGCCATGTCCAGCCCGTGAACGCTCTGTGCCATTCACCGGCAACCACGAGGAAGGACAAAGAAGCCACGAGCTTTAGCAGCTCTGCTGCCGCGACGTAAGAGCCTCAGCAATGCGCCACAAAGCCGTATGGGCCAGGCCGGGCCGTTCTGCCTGCAGCCAAGCGGCTGATTATGAGGCCGTCACTTGTAAACTTCCTTCAGTCTCAGAAACGTGCGCCAGATGAGTCCATATAGCGGACTGCTTCTTTGAACCACAAGGGTAAGTAGAAAGTTACGCTGGTTGCGCAGGTTTGCCAGCCTTGTGAGGTACGGCTGCGTTGCAAACTGCACGGAGAGCAAGACACAGAGCACCCAGGTCACCATTCCGACAGTTACAAAAAACACCGAAGACGAGGACTTGATCTCTTGGCTGTGAAGAGATTTAATTGCCCGTCATGCATGAGACCGTGCTAGGTGACCAGATCTTGAAACATCACCTACAAGCGGGCAAGCTTTCATTCATGCGTGAAGCCAACGGACATGAACAATACACCTCATCATCCATGGATGACCTTGAGCCGAAATTGCCAACATCTCCAGTGTCCCAAAACACAGCAATTACAGCCTGACATCGCCGGATATCGCCAGTGTCTGAGTGTTAAACACTTGCTTTCCAGCGATCCAGCTCCTGCTCATGCACGCCGTCTGTCGAACACAACAATCAGGTCTTGGCTGCAGATCTCCTTCGATAAGATAGCGCAAGCGACTCGTTCCATGTGCCGGTCCTGACTGTGAAACAAGGATTCGCGACTGCTCTCTGCTACTGCTCCTCCCCAGCCAGCTGTGTGAAAAAATGCAATCCGTGTCCAGTAATAAGCAGTAGGTCGACCCATGATGGGCCACTAATGCAGATATCTAATGTAACCACGGATCTCTACATCCATCTGCAAAATCGTGGTGAGTGTCAGTGTAAGTGTCAGTGTCAGTGTGCATCTGAGTTTGAGTGTGAGTGCCAGTGTGCGTGTGAGTCTGAGTGCGTGTGTGCGTGTGTGCGTGTGTGCGTGTGTGCGTGTGTGCGTGTGTGCGTGCGTGCGTGCGTGGGTGCGTGGGTGCGTGGGGGCGTGCTTGGATGGGCCGGGTGGTTGCTAAGTGATGCAACGAAAAAGCAAG